CCAGCTGCCCTTCAGGCTGCGGCTCTGCCGGCTGGAGCCCTCCAGCGTGTTGACAATCTCGCTGCGGTCAATGTTCCTCAGCGCCGTGTACAGGCTCTCAACTGCAGGGGGAAGCCAGTGTCGGCAAAACAGTTACTGGGGGAACACAGCCACAGCCCAGAGACCCTCCAGGTGGGCATGAATCAGCGGGGTAACGTCAGCCACAGACCCCTCAGCATGCACACACTGCTCTTCGCAACCAGCCCTGCAGCCTCCCTGCCTGTAACAGGGCACTGCAGATACTCACTCTTGACACTCTTGCCCTCGCGGCTGACCCAGAGGTTGAGTAAGGCTATGCTCTGCTCCAGCAGGGAGTTGGGGTTCTCCACACGTATCCTGTTAATGTCATCCACCCCAAACTGTAGCTCACGTGCCAGCTCTGAGGGAGACACCGTATCTCAGCATCACACTCTCTGGTGCCCACCGCCAGCTCCCAAGACAAAAAGACTAGGGATGATGTAAAGTGCTCAGCCAGACCAAGCACAGAGTCTGCCCTGCAACACACAACTGAACACGGCAGAACATGCAGGAGCGGGAGCTAGGACAGGGCAGAGTCTGAAGCCCATCTGCCCAGGCTGGCCGTGACCTGTGTAGCAGGGCCTCGTGCTAAGCAGAAGCGTGGGTACTGCCCTTGGGTGTGCAACAACAGTGCTGGGCCTCCACGAACAGTAGCAATACGTACGGCTCAGAACAAAACCCTAGCCTGGCATCTGTGCAAGTGTGTGAATGCATGCACAGCTGCAGGAAGGTTCGTTTCGGTGCCATAGTACCCTCACGGCTCAGCAGTGCTGGGAGGCAAGGCCAGCCTGCCAGAGGAAGTAGCGCAGACCGCACGCATACCAACCGCACCAGGGCCCAGCTCCCTACACAGCCTAAAGCATGTTCACGCCACTCCGCATCATGTTCCCAGCCCTCCTGTCAGCTTCCTGAGGAGCGCTGTGCATCCTCGGAGCTGTCAGGTGTGGACTCACCAGCCCAGCTGAGGCCCAGCTGTTCCGCTATGTCGACCATCTTCTGGTCCGCCTTGTCTGTGCTGCTCAGAGAGCCTGGAGGAGAAGGGGGAGTCACAGCTTCAGCTGCGCAGGCCCCTGTGCCAGGGTGGGGAGGGCAAAGCGGTACTAGCTGGAGGGGTTCTCGCAGCCCTGTAGGCATGGCACTGCCCTGCAGGCAGGACTAAGGAGCCCCTCAGGCAAAGTGAAGCTGCCATGAGTGTGAGTACAACAGGGTCAGCCCAGCCTTTCCACCAGGCTCGGGCACCCCACGGGCAAAAGGTGAGTGGGCTTGAACAGTAGCAGCAGGCTGCGTACCAAAACTGGTCTCGCTTAGGATGCTATATCGCTCCCGCAGAGACAAAGGCGTCAGCGTCCTCCTCCGCTCCTCACTGCCGCTCCCCTGTGAGAGTGGGGACAAACCAAGGGGTCACCAGCTTGAAAAGAGGGCAGCAGCTCTGCCCCGGCACTGCTGCTTCTGCAGCCCCAGAGCAGCACGGCATAGCCAGGTGGAGCCGCTGAGGAAGAAAAGCTGAGAGCGAGGGCTGTCTCCAGCACCTGGAGGGAAGGATGGGCCCCCGCCACCCCCTCCCAGAGGTGACAGACACCTGGCACTGACCTTGGTGCAGGGTGGTATGCTGATGTTCAGGTGACAGAGCACATGCTGGAAGTCCTCGTATTTCATGGCCTTGCGCAAGAAAGACAGGGAACCACTGGCTTCCCGGCTGCTGTCCCGAACCTGAGCACCAAGAGCCCGGTCAGGTGGCCTGGCACAAGGCAGGCACAGGGACCCAACCGTACCCAGTCATTACCTTGATGGGGATGGCAAGGCGATTCTCCCGAAAGGACTGGAAGAGGAAGGTGCGGGGCTGAGTGGCCTTCTTGACAGGCACCAAGTTCCCTGAGAGCTCAACGTGCAAAGGCATCCCCTCTACCACCTGGCAGGGAGCAGAAAACATCCTCAAACTCTGTGCAGAGCTGCTTCTCCTGCCCTTGGACAGGACAGGTTAACCCCAATTCTCCTTCAGTTCCCTCCACTGGCATCAGTCTCCCCAGTCCAAGTGGCAGCCTTCTCCTTGCCCCCCTGCCACGTGTGCTGCTGGGGACAAACCTCAATGTCCCTGCTGCGGGCCACTTCAGTGAAGTTTTCATGCTGCTCTAAAGTCTTGTCAACCTTGTCATCAGTCATGCAGTAGCAGCGCAGTCGGCCTTCCCGTGCATCGTTCATCTTGGCAAACACCACGAATTTGGCCATGTAGGGCACAGCTGTCAGCTCCTTGTACAGCATCGTGGCGAAGTGCACGGCCTCGGCTGTGCGCGGGCAGTCGGCCAGCCAGAACCTGTGGGAGGGCTGGGTTGGGGCACTGCCGGGCAGGTTCCCCAGTGGCCCCAGGAGAGCTGCCCCTCCCGAAAGCATACGAAACTGCAGACGGTGCCCTGAGAGCCCTGGGTACAGAAACAGCCCCATTTGTGACAGGGACCCACCCAAACACAAAGAACGGCCCATTCCCTCTGCACACCCAGCTGTCATGCTTCCCGACATGTACCAAGGCAGTGTGCGGGTCTCAAGGCTGGAGCAACTGCCCTGCACATGGGAATGAGGCAGGAAGCTCCTCCTGGCACAGTCTGCACCCCAAGAGGGCCTGAAGGGCAGCAGGCATGTCCAGATGAGCCCGTGCTTGCCCAGGACTCACCTTGCAGACACATTGGTGGTAAAGTTAGCACATTCCTTTTCATAGACCAGCTTTGTGGTGCCCGTTATGTCTTCCCACTGCGCTTGGGCTGTCCCTCCTGCAGCAGAAAGCAAGAGTGAGCACACGACCTTCCCATAACCCTGGTGTCTGTGTCCCCGAAGTGTTTGCACTCTCCGCAGCCATGACCCGTTCTTCACTCCCAGCAGGTGCATGCCACCGAGGTGGCCCAGCCCATCCTCTCCAAATAGTATGCTCATCCGTGCAGCAGGTGCTGGCAGCCTCACCGATCACACTGCAGAGCAGGCGCAGGCTGGTGGTGTCACCCTCGCCGCTGTCTCGGGGATTGTCCTTCCAGGATGGTGGCAGTGGGATGCGGAGACCAATGGGGCGGTGGAACTTCCTCCGGCGTGGCTCCACTGTGACGATGGGGCTGAAGGTTGCCTGATTCCCCAGAAGCTTAGTCACCAGCTCGTCGGGCACGGGCTGCGCCTGCAGGCAGCACAAACCAGGGCATCAGGGCCAGTTTGCCTCAGGC